TGTAATAGTAAAACTTTGGAAGCAATCCAAATGTTCATCAAGAGTCTACTGGGGATTAGATAAATTATGATCATACAAACAGTGGGACACTAGGCAGTGGCACTTAAGAAAAAAGAAAAACCATAAACTGATATAGAAAAATCTCCAAGTAAATTATTAATTGGAAAAAGAAGGATTGTGCAGAACAGTGTATACAGTATGCTAACTTTTGTTTAAAAACGGAGAATAATGCTTAAGGGATCAATCCAAGAAGAGGATACAACAATTGTAAATATACATGCACCCAACACAGGAGCACTTCAATGTGTAAGGCAGTTGTTAACAGACATAAAGGGAGGAATCGACAAGAACACAGTAATAGTGGGGACAGTGAGTGGGTACAGTGCAGTGACTAAACACGAGCCTTAGCATCAGATACCAGAGCTCATGCCCCAGCTCCACAAATTACAAACATCTTCTGTGTCTCAGTTTCCTCACCTCAGTCAGCTTAATGCCAAGCCCATAGGGGTGTTGTTAGAATCATGAGATGCTGCTTGCCAGGTGCCAGGCAAATAAATAGCACGTGCCAGTTAAATAGGTGATACTATGTTTTTCTTTTGTCATCCTGACCCACCTCAGAGACATCTAGCACACAGTACATAAGAAGAGGAAAACTGCAATCCAAAGACAAATTCCTAGAACTAATGCATAATATTTAGATTGAAGGGAAGGCTGAGGATAATTTTTTGGAAAATTTTCTTTTCATCCATCACCAGATTCCATTCCAGGGCTTGAAGGTCAGAATTGGTATCATTTTCTAACTTAAGAGGTTCATTATATCCTCTCCAAACTCCATGAAATCAATCATGTTTTATGTTTTAGATCTTGACTGTTAGAGGAACACTCTCTTTTTTTCCCAAATAGTACAAGGTCACACATTACAAAAGCCTTACAATTCACAGGAGAGAAGCTGGTGAGGGGCTGCAGCTGTCCCAGATTTTCCTGATGAAAGCTTTGCTTCTCTCCCTTGCCCCAGTACCATTAAATGTTCATTTGGTAAATTTTATTTTACTATAATAATTCAAATTAAGTTCGGAAGTGTAACCATCTTGCTTGCTGCTGCTCTTGCTGTCTCTAAACCTTCTGGTAAAAGGCTTTTATACAATTTGCCAAAAGGCAGATATCCTTAAGCTGCCTTCCTGCTGTTTGAGTTCAGTTCCTCAAAATAAATGTGGAGTCTACAATGACAGCATCTTTGAGTGCCAGTAAGTGGAATTCTGCTGCCCTAGCCACATCTCTGGAGCCCCCGCTATCTGATTATGGGCTTCTGGGGGATGAGGTGCTACTTTGTTTCAGTTTCAATATGTTCCAAATCTGTGGGGAGACCACAGTGATGAAATGTTATTGCTAATGAACATAAAATTAAATAATCTGCTATACCAATGCAAGCCTCAGATTATTAAATGTGTCACAGCAGATAGACCATCTGTCATGATATAAACTGTTCTAAACAAAAATATATGTCTGGGAATTTATAACAAATTTCATGACATGGTAAAAGATTTGTAGCCCAGTGACAGAGATACAAGGTAGATAGATGCGTATCGTCAGAAATGTGCACATGCACATCTGTCACTAGAAATCTCTGTGTATCTGGGTCCTCATTTCATCAGTTCTGTAATAGGGATAATGACATCTCACAGTGTAGCGACAGAGACATGCTATGTAAGTACAGGTATGAAAACGGACTTGAGAAAGTCAGTTAAGAGTTTCATTCCATGTGTCTCCGTCAGAATGTAAGAAAAGTTTTTAAAAAAGTGTTTTCAGAGCCTGGGTATCCCTTTTTGTAAGCATTCATTACAGCATCTTTAAAGTTCTACTTCTGTCTTGAGGCAAAACTGATGATCTAGCCAGGCTTGCAGAACTGACTAATTGGATAAACTGAGCATTGTAACTGTAGTGGCATCAGGAACCTTGGAGGGAAAGGCAGCTTAAATATGCCATCTTTTCAACCAAATGCTTTTGATAGAAATACGTTGTAACTTGGGTTTCTGGACTCTGCTTACTGACTGTGCCCTTGTTCTTTTTTTCAGGGACTCTGTTGGGTGCATTTCATGTCAGCTGGAAAGGCTATCAGAGAGACACGAAGAGCCGCTATTCTGGGGTGTATAGATTTGTCCCTTATTTATATCATATGATATGACAACACTGAGTATAACTAGTTCCAGTACCACATATAAACGCTGAAAGTGGATTATTTTTATTTTACATTATGTTAAACTTGGATTCTATTAAACTGAAAGCTGCCACCATTTTTCTAGAACCGCCTATTCTATAGCAGGCGTACGTTCCTTGAAAGCAAAGACAGTGACTTACTCGTCTTTGTATTTCTGTCAGTGCCTACGTAATGATTTCCATATACAAGATTTCTAATAAATGCTTGATGGATGTGTTAATGGTTTCTTTCGAAATTATATGATAACACATATAATTAAAGGAACATACTACTTGGTGTTATAACTTATGTGCAGATTTGCATTGTTTAATAAAGCATAGAATTCATGAAATGGTTGGAGATTGCTATGTTTTTATGTGGCTTTGATGTAGCCCATTCCCACAGGAATAGATGGAAATGTGAATTTAATGTTTCTTTCTAGGTCAGTTTTTCTGGAGGAATTTGTCAATGCTTAAGCATCAAACACCAGTGCTACATGACTCCTTCCAGTATTTTCCCAACTGATCTCAACTGCCAAGTGATTCCATGTTCATTAGAATGTTGCACTGTAAAGTTCCACTTTTTATTTCCTAGCACCACAGCAGTATTATGGAGGACACAATTCACACTCCATCTTTCTCAGAGCTTTAAGAAACTTTGAAGCTACTCATCACTTTTCTTTGAAGTCTACTAAAAAGAAATAGCCAAAGAAATGATATCATTTTGAGTAAGAATTGCTTGCTTTCTCTTTCTCTTTTTTCTTTTCCTTCCCTCCTTCCTTTCTATCAGTCAATCATCTAATTGAGATAGGTTTATTCAGCTGACTAGAGCTGGGAATCCTGAAGGCTAAGCCCACGACTAACACTTAACATACTGGTTCTATGACCACGAGCAGCTCTACTGACCATGGGGATCAGGCTTGATCATATATGTTCTTCTACTCCTGGTCACCAAAGGGTTGGGTGATGAGTCAGCACACATTGTCACTATAATTGAGTCCCTGCCTGGTTGAACTTTCATTCTTATAGGAAAAACTATCAATAAATCAGTAAACAAACAAATAAGTAAGAGAATGTCATATAGTAGTAAGTGCTTTGAAGCAATAATACAGGGGATGGGGACAGGAAATGACTGATGGGAGAATTTTAGATAAAGGGGCTCAAGATGAGCTGTTCATGGCAAAAGAAATGGCAACAATGTGTAAACAGCTGCTCTGGGCCAGGTAACCTGATGTGCATTTTAAATGCTTGACTTCCTTTGCTTTGAACAATAATCCTAAGAGACAAATGTTCTTCTTCCAGTTTTAACACACAGGGCAGTGAATGTTTAGAAAGGTCATGTGATCGACATTTAACAGCTGATCTGTGGTGCACCTCAGTCACAGTGTTTATCACATTGTGCTGGCGCTTTGGCTCTTCTGCCTTCACTGTAACATTGCTTAAGGTCTGGAGCACGTATTTCAGGAGCTGAAAACGTAATTTAAAATCTCAGCACGTTTGTTAAATGAACAAATATATGAATAAAAATTTTTAAAAACAAGAAGAAAATTCATCATTAGAGGAAGAATTATTCTGAAAATTCATGAAAAAGCGTAACTCATAAAATGAGTGGAAAGTTATTCTGTAACATCTCTCCTATCTGTTCACATTCTCATATGATGATGGAAAAATGTATCTACAAAATAGGAACAAAAAATCATAAAAGAAGGTGAATCATGGATTCAATTTAAAAAGAGAGCTGGTTGGCTTTATAAAAAACCTACAAGGTAGTTTAAAATACTATAACATATTTAAAATCCAAATTGGAGGATTTAAAAACTTTAAAAAGGGGTAACTTAACACACTGCTCCTCCAACTTTATCACCCTAAGTATCTGAAAACTAAACAAGGAAACTGAGCATTTGGATTTGTAGCACAATTAATAAATTCAACACAATAGCCCATAAGAACCACATAAAGAAAAAAACTATAAAATTTATAAAGGATACCAGGAAAGGTTAATCAACAATGAGGCATGTTCTTGTGAGAGAGTGACTGTTATAAATGCATCAGTTCTGATGTATTAAATTTACAGGTTTAAATGTTCCAAATAAAACTCAAATATATTTAATTCTGGGGAATCTGACAAAGCATTCCTGAAGAAGTTTTGGATACATTAGGAAAAACATGAATAGAGAAGACACAGGAAAGGCTATTAGGCATTAGTAAGTTTTAAAGCTGTAAGAAGACTGCGGTCTAATCCTGCACATTGTAGGTACTCAGTCTGTACTTCCTGATTGATTGATTTTCCTTCTGGAACCTTATGAAGGCCTAGGGCAGAACCCAGTAACAGGATCACTTCCCTTAACTTCAACCTAGTGTGTTCTTCCATTAGGTTTAGAGAAATGAAACCAACCAATTTTTCATTCTTGGAATGAAAAATTCACATTTTGGCTTAATTTTGCATATGTGATAGGCCAGATTTAACAGAGTGCTTATAATCAGATATGAAATCTTAAGTAGGTTTACAAAGAGAATTAGTTTTGCCCTTATCATCACCATTCCCCTCCAGAACAGACTAACACAGTAAAAACTGCAAAAAATTTGTTGAAGCTCTTTCTAGGTTTCAAAGATAGATGAAGAGTTTATTACCATCTCTAGAGAGTGCTCTTAAAATTCAACCTCACTTTGTCCAACTTTCTTCTTAGGCAATGGAGTTCCAGAGCTGTGGAAAGGACAGCTTTGTGCACGGGCACCCTGAGTGTGGGGATGTTAGTGTTAGTGAAGGGGGTTTAAACAGCACTCTCTCCTGTCCGTCTGCCTTCTAGCCCCTTCATAACCACCCGACACTCCTCCACTGGGATGACAAGGAGCGACTGCTGTGGTCAGCAAGATAATGGAATGCAGTCCTTTTGGCCAGCCCCCTACTATTAACCAAGTTGAAGACAGATGGAAGTGAGAGAAGAGGAGATAAGAGAAGACTTGCTTCCTCAAGGCTACGCTACACAAGTTGTTATCTAAGTTACAGGCTGTATCCACCTGCTTCCTCAGGAAAATGAAACGTAATCTCTCTGCATTGTGAATAGGTCTGCAAAATTTAAGAGAATGGAGATGCATTTTCCAACCAGAAGAGTTTAGAGGAAGGCTCTTCTCTCCCACCCTACAGGAAAGGTACGTGTAAGGCCCAGTCCCTCTCTAGTCTGCGCTGTGTTCACTGACATCAGGGGTACCGTTCGGCAACCTGGCTGAACAGCAGAGTTCAGGGCTGGGCCCGCAATGGGAACCTTGTTGAGGAATAACAAGGTGAGCTGTTATTGCTATAAAAAGAAAAACATGCTTGCTCATTCACTGCAGAACTGTAGGAAAGAAAAAAAAAACTTCACAAAGACAACAGGCTGACTACAAGAAAATGGAATTATCTTTTGTTCATGCACATTCCGTTTGGTAAGAGAAGAATTATATGCTGTTGGGCTTGGTACCCTTTAAAACATTGAAAAATCAATCAATCAAATAAATTAGGTACTTTGGAATTTTACAGTTGATGCCAAGGACATGCCATAGCGATTCCTTATGAATTCAGAACTATTTTTTAATAAGATATATTGCATTAAAAACATTTTGAAATGATTTGAAACAACACAATAAAAATAAACGTGGAAAGAGAAATAACAGCAGGGGCCTCATTCGGGAGGGGAAAGAAATCCATGCAAAGCTTGGCCCTGTTCAATTTTAAATGTGGTATCAGGGCTTTGTTTTTCAAAAGAAACTTCAAAGAGTCAAGTCGGCTAAAGCCCGTGGGTGACCTTGTACAGCGTGGGGATAGTCTTCGCCACACACTTCTCAGCCTGAGAATTCGCTGTGCAGAGCCATGCACTCCTCCCCGGCCAATGCGCCTCTTCCCTGGCAATTCTAAGGTCGGTCCTTGTACTAAAGCCCGGGGCAAATGCTCCATGGACGTAGTTACCAATGTGAAAGCAACACTGTGCATTTTTTTTCTATCAATCTATCTATCCAGCTATCTAGAGTTGCAACTATTCATTTATGGACTGATTGTCATTTGTGGATGTTTGCATACATATTTTAACCCACAAAATATGTATGCTTTGTATGCTTTATCTTAACAGAGCTTTAACATCCAGAGCTATCTATTGGGTCACACGTTTTTGTACTCTTCAAATGCAAAGCCCAACATGTATAAACCAAGTGTGCTACATGATGCCAGAATACCCCCTACCTAGCTCTGCAAGAATAAACAGATTCTATTCAGTGAGATTTAGTGGAAACAAGTATTTTAGTCATAATCTAATATTTTAAAAAGATGTTAATTCATATGTTACATTTGGGAATTCTCTTTATCAGACATTTGATTATTCATGATGTTTAATTTCTTAACTCTTTCTGGTAACAGAGTTTATTTTACACTAATGTGACATCTACTTATTTAAAATAGTCATGTCTTAGTTATGTCATCTGACAAACAGTATCATGATACTTGAAATGTGTTTCGGGGATCCTTAGGATAGAGCACAGGGCTCTCTATGTTAATGTAAATGGAAACATTTTGGTTACGGGAAAATCACCATCAGAAAAATAGAGAGGAGAGAGCAGACACTCATAGAAGGGGGAGCCCCTGCATCATGGTGGACACTGAATCCAAGAAGATGGAGACAATGGGAACATTTCCGAGAGGCAAGAAGGTGGGACTGGCAAAGGATTAAGAAGAACACAGTAGCTTTCTCGGTTGTTCTGCAATATAACAGCACTGTGCAGCCCCAGGCCTTCAGTGATGTCTGCTGTACACTTTACAGCAGTGGCATTTGGGGACTTGAAAGTCACATGGCTTTCTCTAGTGTTAAGACAGAATGTTGAAAGAAAGAGCATATTCAGGACATCAAGTGTGGAGACAGAACAGAAGCAGGACATAAAGCTGGTAATTAGGAGAAACACTGTCCCCTAAAGTACTTAGCAGCAGTGGGTGAGATGCTGGGCTTCCCATTTTACCTGGGACAGGGGTGTAAGCCAATATTCCTGACATCTAAAAATATTTTAAAGCCTTGAGAAGATCCCCAAATGTGCAGGTTACATTAGGTTATCTCAAAACCCTAGTAAAATTCTATTTAGGGAAATACAAAAACATAAGGGAAAGAAGAGATTTATTGTAACTGAAGTAAAACCTCAGTGGCCTGATTTTACTAACCTGAACACAGAGGAAGGTGGGTCAGAGGGCAGTGAACCTGTGAACTCTGTGGAAAGGAGGGCTGCGATCGGCACCAAAGTGAAAGGTGAGGCTCCGGGAACAACTCGGTCCCTACACACGGTAGAATGTATTCATTCTAACTTGAAGATGTGGGAGAACCCTACCTTCCTGCCCTGATACTTTTGCCAAAACTTACAGCACTAGTTACTTGTGGGTGTGAAATAGTCATTCATGATTAAATTATGTTTCTATTAACAAACTGAGAGGGTGTGATGTTTGTGAAGCCAGCCCCCCTGGGATTATCAGCTGAGTGACCCGGGACCAGTTACCAACCAATCTGAGCCTTAGTTTCCTAATCTGCAAAATCCTACACTAACAGGCGACTGGGCAACTGCTGATGAGGTTAAATACAAAAAGTATCTAGTCCAGATCCCGCTTGAACAGTGATCCATTTAAACCCCCTTCCTCTCTCCTCTGGGCGTCGTCACCAGAAGTTCCCAAGGAAGAGGGCAGTCCAGGCAGGAAACAGCGGGCTGGGCCGCGACTCAGGTTATTAGCCGCCACAGCTGGGATCGGGCAGCGAGGGCTGGGGGAACGAGTACCAGACAACAGTCAGGAGGTCCTGGAATACGGCTTGACTCTCAGGGTTCAAAGTCAGGAAAAGTCTCAGAGACTTTCTGGAAAAGTCATCAAAGTCTGTGGATCTAATAGCCAGAAATCTGAACAAGAGGGCAATAAGGTGTGCAAGAAGGGGTCGGAGTAATTTTTTAAGATACAGAGACTGAATGCTTGGTAAAGGGAAAAAAATGTTTTTAACTCTTTGCCCTCGCCAGTCTGCTGCTGGGAAATTCCAAAGCCTGGAAAGTGCATCTCATTAGAGCCATTTCAAAAAGCAGCTCCCGACTGGCTCACCAGTGGAGACACCGCACTGGAATATTTTTTGAGTCATTATCAGGACCAAATTTTATTCCTTCTCGTGATTACCTTAGGTAATCATTCGTATCCCAGTTCTTACTCAATCTTCACAATTACTTTTCAGAATCAACTGCATCTATTCCCTCACGCCACAGCCTCGACCAAAACCTGAGTACTATGACCCCATACAAAGAGCACTGTACCACGAGTAGGACAAGTCTGGCTTTTTTTCCTTTCCCTTCCAAACTTTCTAACCTTCTACCCGCCTTGTTCTAAAAGCTTCTGGGTTAGGTTTTCGGCTTTATGACTGAGATTTATGTCTTTGGCCAGCCTTAATTTCTTGGCCAATTCTACATGGTTTCTAGAGGACCAGATGGCAACAGTATGGCGGGAAGTGCCTTGCAAAGTGTAACTGTTAAGCGAGTAGAAGCTACTCGATATGGGAGAGTTTTGAGGGTAAGTGGTAGGTGAATGCTTCTCCTAGAGGTAAAAGAAAGCCTTGTGTTCTTTCTTCAGCATCTTCCTACTTCTCCTTTCTGCTTTTGTCTATACACAGAAATTTGTTTATGCTTAGCCTCAGATTTGTCCAGGAGCCTCCGCTAGGTATGCACGTTGGTTTTTTTTCCTCCCTATAGGAGAAGGAATGGTGACTAATTAAAAACGTTACTTCTCCCTGCAATGGCTAGTACAGTGCCCTCAGGCACCATTTTTCTTTTGATGCTTTTGGTAACTAAAGGGTGACTAGAAAGGGTGACACACAGGGCTGGTTTTCAAAGAATTCCAAACCTGGATTCAGGAAAGTATTTGACCATTTTAGAGGACGGACTTAAGCAGCCAATGCCAACTCTTCAAAATTTTACCACCGGATTATCAACTGAAAAGCGTCCTGGATATCATTACAGCACCAAGATGTTAAACCAACACTGTTGTCCAAGAGGGTGAGAAGACATTATGATGTGCTTATAAAAAATAAATGTATTAAATTAATGTTATAGGCAGTACCTAAAATAACCATTTCTGCTATTGAAGTCTATGTATCTCAGACAAATGTACCTTGGTTCCTTTCAAGAGCCTTATGACCCATATTGACAGCAATGCCTGGTGTATAATAGGTCCTCAAAAATTTTTGTTAAATTAATAAGCCAGTAAATAAAAATGTTTGCATAACTTGGGTCGTCAGTGGTTTATCATTTCCCAGATTTAATAATTTAAGAGGATATTATACTTATGAACTGAGAAGAGCCTTATATGCTTTTACAGGCATCCACATATCCAACACTGGGAAAAGCACTGCACCTGCCGTCAGACACCTAACTCTCTGGCCTGCCACTAACAAATGCTGCGACTTCAATTTCTTTGTCTCTAAATCTAAAGACCTGACCTGAACATTCTATTCTTCTACATACCATATAATTATATACCAACACATACAGGCAAACAGATCCTGGATGATTTTAAGGGAAAGTCTTGGAGTCAGCTGATAGTACAGACCAGGTGTGGGCTCCATGTTTAAAGGTGTGATTCAAGTTCCTGACAGTATCTTTAATGCAGGAGAAATTTGGAGCTAATTATATTTTTAAAAAGTGTTACCAGGTTCTCTTGTTTAAATGCTGGTAGGGGCAATAAACTTACTGTGTTCTGTTGTTGGGGCCTCAAGTCAAACCTTACACCTCCTGCTGCTCCCAGACCTCCTAAATTACAGAGAATGGGGTATGGTTTTGAAGAGATAAGGAAACAAAGAGGAGTCGAGTTCTCCAAGGAGAAGCAATGGCTGCTGTGGTGGAGATGACCCGATTAAGAAAAAAGATACCAAAGAGAAGCAGCCACAGCTGGAAGCAGCCCCTGCGTGTGGGACGGGAGAGTACCTGAATCTGTGGCTCAGACTCTCGAACACATCCTGTAACCATTTCTCCCCGTCCTCTCTTCCCTCCCTCCCCTGACCCCTTCCCCCAAGACGTGAAGAGACCTCATTTGGCAAACTGGCACGGGATCTCTGGGATGCCGCGGGCAGAAGGCACTGCAACCTGAGGTCAGTGGAGCTGTGGGATGGGGTGGAAGTGGGATGTCGTAGAACGTGTACGTCCCTCTGTGCCAGATCCTGTGCGACAGACTCTTACATACCTTGTCACTCTATTCTTTAAAAATGGTTTTCCTAAGTATTAAATCTTTTCAAACAGAAAATGATATGACATCACTATACTCACAAATTCAACACAGGTTAATATTAGATTAATGCTAATATTTTGTGACATTGATAATGATCTTTTTTTTTAATGTAGAAATAAAATCTTACACACTAAGTTGAAATACTGCCTCTTCAGCCATCCAGTTACATTTCCTCTCTCCCTGTTCACCTGAAGAACAGAGGCGTTGTCCACCTGTCAGAAGCCCAGCATCTGCGGGGGGAGTCAAAGCTGACCACACAGTGACCAGCAGGAGCAATGCCATGACCAGGCCAGGGTAACTACTGGCAAGAGATACCCAGGGATGGGAAGCTTTGGAAGAACCTATAAATGTGCCCTGAGAAAGAAAGGGTAGCAATGGTGCATCTGCCAGGTCCAGGTGGGACCAATGTCCAGATTATAGTCATATCAGAAAAGCGACACTATTTCTGCCCTTTACTCTCTCCCTTTCTCGAAGAGTGCACAGGTCTTTTAAATTAAATCTGTATCACTGATACAGTCATGGTCCCAACAGGAAACAGATGGCACTCTCAAAACAGTATAATTTGAGGAGGATTTATTTACAACAGGACTGTTTACAAAGATACAGGGATAGGGAAACCGCAAGAGACAGCAAGGTAACCCAGGGCGAAGAGCAGCTGGGTAATGCACCTCCAGGCCCACAGAGATGAGGGGAGGGAGCACTTCCTGGGACCCAGAACGAGAGAGAGTGAAGCAGAGTCTCCTCCTCTGAGAGGAACAGTAAACTGCTGTGGGACACAGCCAGCCTACCACTCGGGCTGAATGCCAGGAGAATAATCTCCTAACATCAATTTCCTAACTCAGTCATCCCCTGCTGCGACTGCATCATGAAGCCAGAGGGCACTGGAACCCATTTACATAAATCTACACAGGTCAGCCATAAATTTACATGCCAATAATATTTAAGCAGCATTACAAAGTTTTGTTATGTGGTATTTCATTGTTTAGTTCTA